GGCCGGTGATGGTGGGAGAGGAAAGTTTATGTCTCAAGCCAGAAAACCAAGGGCTGGTAATGGCTGGGCTTGCTCTTTTTTCATCTCTCTCACAAGAAGGCTCCAGGAGTCCCATGAGAACTACCATCCTAGAGCACACTCCCACGGCCTACCTCTTCCTGCCACTACCCCGCTGGGCCCCCAAGCCTTCAACACGCAGACCGTTGGGGTAGGTAGACTCAACCAGAGAAGCCCTCAAACACAAGCCACTTTGGCACCAACCTCACAGATGGGGACACCGAGGCTCAAGAAGGGACAATGAGTTGCCGGTAGGCACAGGAGCTGGAACCGGAACCTGGATCCGCCTGGCCTTGACTTGGTGCTTTGATCGCTTTGACCTGGGAGATTTACCGGTTCTCGCCCACATCCGTGGCTCTCTGCACCTGCCCTCCCATCCTTAGGGTGAGTGAGAGTCTGAGGGATATAAATGTGTAAGTGGCATTTATTTCAGTGGTCTGTGTCCACAACTCTGTGCCTCAAGCCCTTCCTACAGTGAGGCATACGCAAATAAATGAGAGAGAAGGAATGATCAGAATCCATGAGCCAGCTCTGTCCTATCTCATGGCTGCTGTCCCACCTCCCCACCATATCACACAGACTCTGCCCACCCCGAGGTACTGCAAAGGAAAGCCTTTTGGTATTTATTAAGTGAAGAAAATGCCCACATGCATGCAGGAGAACAGTGAATTCATAGCACTTTCCTGGTGGCAGACCTTGTTCACCAAAGAGGAGAGGGCCCTTTGGGTAGCCTGCCCCAAACCTGGTTTCTCCTCTCTCCCATCTGCTATCCTCCTTTGTAGACGACAGGTGTGACCTCGAGACTGAGTGCTGACAGCGAACGGACTGTGAGCCGGAGGAAAGGCATGGTTTCCACAACCCCTGCTTCCATGCTGCCTCAGACCCGTTCATTCCTTTCACCATGGTTAAGACCAGCTGTGGTCTTTGGGTCATACCCTAAGGAATGGCGGGCCAACACAACAGAAGGACACTGGGTCCTGAGCGAGTACACGGGACAGAGGTATCTTTCCAATTTCAACAGTTCACCTAGTGAGATTCCCTCAGGTGTGAAGGAGCTAGTGTACCCAGGACCACAGGCTTTCTGACTCCCAACAACGACAAGTGGCTGGCCCTCTGTTACCCCACATCTGACATGAGGGTGACGGTAGACACTGCATTGGGAACTACAAGACAGGAAGCACACAGTGACCCTGGCAACCGCTGTGTCCCTGTTGGTGAAGCCCTGGCCCCTGTCTCCCTGAGCCAGAGGAAAACAGCTCTCATGCTGTCACATGTGATGAGTAGCGTGTCTTCCTGCACAACTGGCCTGACCATCCCTTTATCTGTTCCAGTGCAAAGCACTACCAAGTGTGGGAGTAGAAGCTACTCACAGATGGGTCTGGGAACCAGCGAGAGCTTGGCTTCACCCTGAGGGGCCTGAGCACTGCAGCTAATAAGAGAGCCCCCAAGAAACCAGAGCTAATCAGACCCTAGCTGGCCTCAGTCGATGAAGAGGAGAGGGGAGCAGAGGCGAGGGAAGAGGAGGGCAGGGGAGGAACCCTGGGACTATGACTGGGGGGTTTGTCTCCTTGAATCTTGTGTGTAAACATGCCGCCCTGCAGAAAGCTCCTTAAGTAAGAAGGCAGTCAACAACTAAAACAATCTTCAGGAAGCCCCTGAAACTGACCAGACTCACTAGGCTCCTCCCTGTCAGAGCAGGCAATACAAGCCAAGAGTACCTCTCAGACGGAAGGAGGCTGAGCTGTACTGCAGACTCTCAAAAGCTTCAAGGATTCCTGAGACCAGACCAGCTGCCTGGAAGAGCTTTAGGCCAACTGAGGCACCTGGGACACTCTCCGAGCTGCCTGCAGGCTGTGCAGTGCGCTCCAGGTTCCCAGCTTTGTGAGCTGTCACTCATACTGGGGTGGGCTTGGTGAGGCAGCTGTCTTTGAGTCGTTTCTGCTGCTGTAAGTGACCCCTCACCCATATTCCTGTAAGCAACCTCAATAGAACTCATTGGTTCTCCAAATTGGGACTTCGGTGGTGTCCATACTTTCGTCTGTCTTGGGATCCCTATCTGGGGTGAGCAGACGTGTGTTGTGTCTCCCCAGGAAAAGGTGTGTCACACAAGAGTGAGGTACTGACTGGGAGGGTGGACACGGCTCGATGCTGGTGTTCAGTTAGTGGAAGGAAGCGATTAGCTAGGGCCAATGGGGTGGGATGAGCAAAGCTTAGGGACCAGAGACAGGGATGCTCCCTGGCTCTGACCCAAAGCCCGAAGCAGAGGCAGCCCTTGACCCTTGGCCTGGAGCCATAAGCCAAGACAAGCCTCCTGTTTAATAAGGTTTGCAGCACACAGTGCTGCAGGATTAGCCACAGCACACACTACCGAAGTTAATTAAAAAGGGTGATGCTTCAGAGTAAAGTTCAAGTGCAGGCAAGGTTTCCTGAAGCAACTATTTCCTCTTGAAAAGATAAAAATACATACATATATAACATTGTCTTAAGTGCAATATATGTTCTAATATGGCAAACACATTTTTCAATTATGTGTATATATATATATATTCCTATTGGAAACAAAGCCTCAGGCAAGTGACCAGAAGGCTGCTCTGACCCCAACTGCCACCTAACACTATGAGCAGGAGAACTCATCCATGTCACCAGGCCAAGCCCTACAGCTCTCAGCCCTTTATTTCTCTATTAATAAAAACTGGCTGCAGGGCTAGGGATGTGACTCCATGGTGGAGCCTTTGCCTAGCACGCTCGAGGCCCCAACATCCATTTCTATGACTGAAAGGGGAGAAAATGAGCCACCGAGGACTTTGTCTGATCAGGAACTGGCTTAGGCTCTAAGAACGCGTTTGAATTAGATAAAGATCTTACTGTGTGGGACGTCACAGCCAGGAAGAGGAGAGCGAGCAAGCTGAGTGTGTTAGGACACAAGGACGCTGTGTCCTGTCCCTCAGGACACAGTGCTGCTTCCTAGAGTAGCAGAGACACCAGAGTTTAGATTTAAAACGACACAGTGGGTATCAAGACACAGAAATTCATTCTGTGGCGGGGAAGGACTGTCTGGTTCAGAAGCGCTAGGAGAGGGGATTTAAATGCATTTCCCCACCAAGAGACTCTAAATGTTTTAGGGGAGGGTGTCCCCACCTTGAGTTGAACACTATACAACATATACATGCATCATGTGACATCTCGTAGTTTTCATTTCTTAGTGCTTTAACTTTAGAAAAATAAAAACAGCAAAAAAAAAAAAAATTTAAGAGATTCCGTCATGTGTCATTTTACAAGCAGTCCGTCTGAGACAGACCACATACATGATGGTGTCCCACAAGGAGGCATCACTCAGTGCCACGGCAGCCATGTCTCTTCTGTGAAAGTACACACGATGAAGCCAGCTAACAGGTACTTCTCAGAACACGCTCCGTTTGTTAAGCAGCACATGGCCGTACCAGGTCTGAGAGTTTAGTCAGAGGCATTTCTCTCCCTTCAGGGTCCACCTAGTCACCGTAGTAAAATGCAAAAGGCAAGGAGTGGCCCTAGAGTGCTGGGGCCCAAGAGCTGTAATACAGAGAGGAACTGACATCCGGGTCCCCTCATTAAGCTTAATTATCCTCTCCACATTTCTTTCCTCCTGTAATCTCTGAGAGGTGCAAAAAACACGTCAGTTCCAGTGAAGAGAGATGGGTAATTGCCTTCCATAAATCAGAGTTAGAAACTTCTCTGGAAATTATTCATCTTCCAGTACCAGGCGTCTCCTGCCTCGAACCCATTCAGTGTGTTTTGGGGATGCAACCTCCAGAAGTGGTCTGTCTTCATCGAAAGTGGCTGTGCAACTGACTGGGGCTAGGAGACCAGCCCCCTCATTAGCATGTGGGGTCTCTTCAGAGGGCTCACCAGGGCCCTGGCTGGTTCCAGAAAGGACCTGATGCCACAGGGCTCCTCAGAGCCGCATCCAGATCGATATCGGGAACTGGCCTTCTGGGAAATCACTAATGGGCTGTGGAAAATCACGTGGTGCATTAATGAAGAGCTTCACAGCTGTCCTAGGATCCCGAAAAAGGATAGCCAGAGGCCAAGTGTTTGTGGGACTGACGGGCTCCAGTGCCCTTACAGCTCTTTCCCAAGCCAAGCGTCCTTCTTGCTGCATGGCAGGAGAGTGGCCCTTGCTTCTAACGGTAGCTGCCCATCTTCGGGCTAGGAACAAGGGGTGTCCTGGCCCAGCTGTACCTCATTTTCACCAGACACCGGCCAACCTTGCAGCAAACCACAGCTGATGTGTGACGTACCTGAGATGCTTCAACCCGTATGAACCACACGGGAAGAGAACAACGCACTCACGCGGAGGGCAGCTTTTGAGTGGAGAGAGCTTTACGAGGCAGGGCAGGGCAGAAAGAAATTTGAGGCTCAATCACTTGGAGGGCTCCTGAGCTCTCCATTTTGTCTCGCCCATGTAATGAATCCATGTGAGCAGAATACCATCTCTCGGCCTATAAGATGCCCACAATGGGCTGTATATTGATATGACATGCAATGACATTGCCACACAGCAGAAGAATGCTGTTTATGGCCAGGTTCATCCAATGCCTAGGCTCTCAGAGAGAGGGGATGGTGGCAGGTGCTAACCACCAGCCTGTCTACTTTCTGGATGAAAGGCCTCGGGCTTGGGGGAGTCTCCCACGAGTCCCCGTGCTGAGCTGGAAGCCAGCTCCAGGGTTGCCTTTGTTCCTGTGGTCACCTATTTATGGCTGCCCTCTCACATCCTGCATCACAATACAGTTTATTTTTAGTAATTTAATTTACGTGTATGTGTGGGGGTTCTGTGCACCCCAGTGCGCTGTCTGCAGAGGACATGAGATCCTCCAAAGCTGAAGTTAAAGGTGGTTGTGCACCACCCAATGTGGGTGCTGGGAACTGAACTCTGTTCTTCAGCAAGTGTTCCTACCACTAAGACATCTTTCCAGCCCCATTATTTCTCTTAAAAATAGATTTAAAGGGGCGGGGAGGGGGGAGACAATATAAAAAGCAAGCAAAGATGTTGAGCACTGAATCAAAACAGCTGCTGCAAAGGTCACAAACAGGCAGGTGAGTGCTAAGGTCAGGGCAAAAGCCACGTGGAGCCATGTGACAAAATGATGTGTAAGTGGCTGGCTGGGAGTCAAGCCTACCAAGTGGCCTCCATCGGTGACCTCAGTGGGCCGAGGAGCCAGAAAGCCTCTTTGCCAATGGACCTCAAGGTCTTGGGACCTGGCTCAGCTCTGGCCAGCAGGTTCCTGTCCAGAGCCAGCTCCAGTGTCACCTCTGCTCAAAGCCGACCTGGCTACCACAGCTGTCAGCCGGCCCTCTCTCCCTCGGCTCGCCGACCCCTCTTCTCACAGCCACCCTCTCCTTTGCCGGCTGCCACCTCCCTGGGGACCATTCCCTTCCCTGGCCACTGCCACCTGTGCGCATCTCCAAGTGTCCATGAGCAAGCCAGGCTATCCCCACGGCACCGCTCTCCCACTAGGGATTGAACTAGTGCCATTTTAGGAGAGCTGCCCAACCTCTCAGAGTGTGGGGCGTCAGCAGTCACTGCCGGAGCCAGGGAGTCTGCCCACTTATCACGGGTGTGCGGTGAAAATGTTCGGAAAATACAGAGGTGGTTCTATTGGCCGCGGTGGAATGAAACCGCCCCAGAGAAGCAGGTGGAGGAGGAGCCTCTGGAAGAGGAAGACGGGACAGCAGTTGGGCCAAGCCATCCTCAGGAGGCCCTGGGAGGAGGTGGGTTGGAATCTCTGGATCTCTTGGCCCCTGGAGGCCATCCCCACCCCCAGAGAGGACAAAACATCCAACACAGCCCAGAGGAATGCTGGGGAGGGAGATGTCTGTGGGACACAAGGACAGTGCACAGACGCTGCCTGGCGGTTCTGCCGGGGAGGCAGGCCCAGGTCACAGAAGCCGTGCACCTCAGAACCAGGACAACAGGAAAGCAGGTACTGAGGCCCATCTCTTCATCAGGAGGCTCCCTGCCATCCTATAAGAAGGCGCTGGGCTTCATCTTATGTAATTTTTTTTTTTTTTTCCTGGAAGGAAAACAGCATGAACTCCCCAAGGCTGCAGATGGCTCCAAGTTCTGGGTGGTGAAAATGCCAAGCGGATGGCAGCGAGCAATTAGGAATTTATGGAGCATGCAGGAGAGGTGGGGAAAATGTCCCCATCTAGACATGTGATGGAGCCTCTGAGCTCAGCCGTGACCTAAGTGGGCAGCTGCATTAGGCTGGCCTGGAGAGAGCAGATGCTGGATCTGGACACTCATTCAGGGTGGACAGCGTGGACAACAGGTTGTCCACACCTGCCATCCCTAAGCGTGGGACCGCAGCCACCAAGCCTTTCCAAGCCCCAGTCTTCTATGAAAAGGGGCTGGAGGACCACAACTAGAGGGCTGGCTTGGCAAATAAGAGCACTGGCTGCTCTCCCAGAGGACCCAGGTTTGATTCCCAGCACTCCCAAGGTGGCTTACAACCACCTGTAACTCCAGTCCCAGGGGACCTGGCACCCTCTTCTAGCCTCTGCAGGCCCTGCACACATGTGGTGCACAGACATATATGTGGGCAAAACATCCATACATAAAAATAAAAAAAAAAATAAGAATCTTAAATGAGACTGTAGTGCCCACTTCCCGTCTTGAGAAGAATATGACGCACAGTGGGTCACACACAGCTCTGGGAATGTTCTTAGGAGGCAGAGCCTGGTGTTGGAGAGAACAGGGCTTTTAAAGCTGGTAGGCTCAGGCAACGTTGCTGCGACTTAGTAGCCTGCATCTGAGACTTCCTTCCTTCAGCAATAAAATGGAAGAATTATGTTAATCACCTGACAGGCACTGTGAGAGCCGGAGCCACGAGACCCAAGAACCAGCCGGTGGCACAGCACACACTGGCCTCTGCTGTAGCTTCTGTCACTTTGCCAAAACTAACACAGGTTTACATAAAAACTGATACAGAAGGAGCCTAAGAAAGACATGCCTTCAAGGGACGCATGCCTTCTGCACCTCGCTGAGGTGAACCGTGGGGGCCCTCTGAAGTTGTTATCTCAGTGTGGAGAGCTCAGCCATGCCCACTTTCCGTGTGCAATGCACCAGATAGGCAGACAGGGGATAAGTGAGAGGCTGCCAAGAACCCTCCTCTGTGGTACTCTCCGGCCTCTCAGGACAGATAGCTGGTCTCGGCCCCAATCCTGGCACGGGCACCAGTGGCCTCTCTATCTGCCTTTCTCCTAGCCGAGGGCTCTCGGAAGGTAGGGCTGTGGTCTTTACAGTTTCTACATCCCTAACAAGAACAAGGTTCATCATATAGTGGACGGACCAAGAAATATTTGTTAGAACCTGGTGAATTTGTTGGTGGCAAGCATATATGTCCATCCACCTCTGCACACATCTACATTAAAATGGCTGCTGGAGTCCACTGAGGCTGGTGATGGGGAAAATGTCGAAAACCGTCCTGACTAGGCACTGCCTTCCAGAGCCAGGGTTGCACTTAGGCAGCAAGCAGCTGTGGTCGCTGTGCAGCTTCCTCCAAGTGTGAACAGCAGCAGTGAGAGGGTGTCTGGAGGGCTCCAGAGAGCGGCTGGGTCAGGAACGACACAAACAGAGCCAACAACAACCAAGGACGGCAGAAATAGAGGGAGAGCAGAGAGCTGAGAAGTGTTCAGACCAGCAGGCTGCCACCACATCCATACAACTGGCTCCCCACTCTCTGCTGATGGTGTTCCAGCTGAGGCATCCGGGCATCAGATACGAGTCTAACACTCATCAATTATGGAGTCAAATTGTTCCAGCTGCCAACCTCTTAGCTCAAAGAAAACACAAATATCAAAGGAATGCTTATCACAGAGGCTAATGATTAACATTAACAGAGTTTTGACAGTATCTAACAATGCTTTACTCCTAAGCAAATACACTTGGGGAGAGTTAAGCAGGCTTATCTGTCTCAGATAGACAAATGGCTTGAGGGATGGAGTGAGGGGTGGGGGTGGTGGTAGGCACACAGATGAATGCTCACAACCACCTGTGCATCTCTGCCTAGGACAAGGCAGCAGGCCATCCAGGTGTTGTTGTTCAGAGACCAGATACTGGAAGCCTGTTGATACCCAACACCCTTCTTTCTTCTGAGAGGCCCTAAATCATTTGGGAAGAGTCACCCAAAGGAGTGTTGTGACTAGCCATGCTAGCAAACCCACACTGCCTGCTTCGTAGCTAAGGAGAAGAGGCCACAACTAGGTCAGCTGCTGGCCCACGGGGTGCCATGTTTGGATAGCCCCTGGTTCCTAGTGATATTCTCTCCGGCCAACGTCCATCCTCTCTGCCTCTTGGTTTTGGTTTATCCAGCACATGCTCTGGATGTTGAATCTACTGTGGCCTCACAGTGGGATCTCTGCTCTTCTCTCCACACTCAGTCCCCCTGGAAGTCGCCAAGGTCTTCCCAACACCACACAAGGCACACGAAGCCACGTCCAGCCAATCACTGGCTCCAGCCCTTGCTTCTGCCCTAACCAGGCCTTCTGCTGCTGCTGTCCAGTCCCCAGCGGAGCACACACGCCCTTTCACTCTGATCTTACCATCCTTCAGACCTGCTTCTCCTGGACTGCCCTTCAAAACCTTCCCCCTATCGTGGTCCTTCGCCAAAAATGTTAGAAATACAGAAAAGTCTAAAAATCAGAGTGAAAATTACCCATCAAATCTCTACACCCCAGAGCGGACCATCTTTGCATTCCCTGCCCGTCCCGCTTGTATTTAAAGCACAGCGACTGTCTTAGACGCACCAGGACAGCGGATGAGGGGGCCACGTTCCTGAAGCAGTACTGACAAGCTGTAAGAGATGGGCAGCCATCTCTCCTTGCTCCTCACCTCAGGGGAAAGACATGGGTAGGTTTGACATCAGCAGTGCAGTTTTGTTCTGTTTGCTATCAGGTTGGGGCAGGGCCCTTCTTCCTCGGATTTTTGGTGTTTTTAAATACTGAAAAGTTATCAGATCTTGTCAAATACCTCTTCCATATCAAGATGACTATGAAGTTTCTGTTCAGTCGATTAATCTGTTTAGTTGTTCTTTTTCAGATATTAAACCATCCTTGCATTCCCAGGACACACCCCACTTGGTGTATAGATTTTTGTCTGCTTATTGTTTTTCTGTGTTGCTGGATTCAGTTTGCTGGTTTTTAAAAACATTTATTTTTATTTATTATATGATATATATTATTATAATTGTATGTGTATGTGTTCATGCTATGGCACACATATGGAGGCCAAAAGACTAACTCTGGAGAGTTAGTTCTCTCCTTGCACTTTTACATAGGTTCTGGGGGGTCAAACTCGGGTCATCAAGCTTGCATTCTGGATTTCATTTCATTTTTTTCTTCTATCTTCATAGGAAATGTTGACCCAGGTCTTTCCAGGTGGCGTCTTTGGCGGCAATAACAGCTCCTGGGAATGAGTTAGGAGAATTCCCTCTCCTGTTTTTGTTGGTGGTGGCTTGATGTTCCTTTTTAGGAAGGTTTGTGAAGGGAAGGCATTGCTTCTTATCTGTTGATTTCAACAGTGAAGCCATTTGGGCCTGGGCTTTTCTTTGTGGGTAGATACTTGTTACTTGTTATAAGTCTACTGGGATTTCCTGTTTATTTTTGAGTCAGTTTTAATAGTTTGCCTCTTCCTATAAATTTCTCCATTTCTGCCAAAGTTATCTAGTTTATTGTTTTTTTTTTTTTTTTTTTTGGTTTTTCGAGACAGGGTTTCTCTGCGTAGCTTTGCGCCTTTCCTGGAGCTCACTTGGTAGCCCAGGCTGGCCTCGAACTCACAGAGATCCGCCTGGCTCTGCCTCCCGAGTGCTGGGATTAAAGGCGTGCGCCACCAACACCCAGCCATACTGTTCTATTTTTTTTTTATAATTATCTTACATTTTTGAAAAATTGGTAGTGATGTCCCCTCTCTCAATCCTCATTCCATTATTTAAGTCCTCTCTCTCTCTCTCTCTCTCTCTCTCTCTCTCTCTCTCTCTCTCTCCCTCTCTCTCTCAATTTAACTTAAATTTTGTCAGTTTTGTTGACAGTTTCAAATAGCCAACTTTGGATGTATTTTCTACCTTTTTCTTCCGGTTTATCATTCTCTGACCGAATTTTACTGTTCCCCCTCCTCTTGCTTTGGTTTGCCTTGCTCTTTGCCCGGTGTCGACGATAGAATTTCAGTCCCAGGAGTCTCTGATTAGAGGCTCTGTGACAAGTGACAAGAGAGAGAAGGAAAACACAGGAACACAGACTGTTAGGGAGGCTCCTCCGGGGCCCCGCAGAGGCCTCAGCGTTGACCTCCCCACCAAAGTCAACAGCCTCAAAGCGATTCTCTCCACACCTGCCGGCTCACGGAACTGTCAGCTCAGTCCTGTCAGAGGTGCCACACGACTCTGACCTGCTTTCCCTTTCCTCCGGCTGGTAGACTCTCCTCCCGCAGAGAGCCATGGGGTCGTCCCACCAATGGCTGCCTCACACAGGAGACTTGCCCATCCCTGAACCCATTACCATGGCCAGGAAAATGAAAAATAGGAAAGGCTAATTTTGTTGCATGATGAGGCTCTGAGCAGGCCGGGAGTGGAGAAGAGACGCCCGCCCAATGTTCTGCATGGCTGTGGGAGAAGGCTCAATGAACGGCAAGGTCAAGCATGACCCGCTGGAGTCTGTCCTCAGTGTCTGGCATCAACCTGGTTATCTGTGCTCAGCCTCTGACACACACCAGCTGTGCCCTTCTCCTCGCTCATGCTCCTGGGTGCGTTAGGACCCCTCTGAAACACTTCAAACCCAGCAGTTCAAACACTCCCCCACACCTCCATCACTTGGCTATACCTGGTGCAAAGCATCAGATGCACAGCTGACTTTCTCATGTCAATCACCTGTGCCTGGGACCTTTTCCCACTCTACATAGCACATCAGCCATGTTCTCTTACGACTGTCACATGGCTACTGCGGCCTCGAGCGGTATGGGACAACCCAGAGACGAGAAGGAAGGCCGTGTGTCTGGGAACCCTCCAGAAGGCTCTCCTATGTCCTGTCAGCTAGCCCTGAGCTTGAGATCTAGCCTTGGCTGCAGACGACACTGGGAAAAAGAGGAGAGAACTATGCCTCCTTAAGAGAAACCCAGAGTCCCACTCAGCCCCGGGGCTGAGATAAGTCAGAAGGGATGGGGGAAGAACCCCGGGAAGGCCAAGTCAGGCCCCTTACTCTCTAGAGACAGGGCTGACTTTTGGAATCTTCTGTCTGCCGCTGCCCTTGTCTTGGACTGAGACAGCACAGCCAGGGACAGCCCCACAGGCTGGGGTTTCCCCCAGGGTCCCCCAGAGAAGCACAGATGTGGGAAGGCAGACTGCTCATCCAAGTCTAAAAACTCAGCCATATGGAGCTGGGAAGATCCACCCAGTTGCTTTGGATGCACAATGCCATCACAACGTCCAACCTCAAGTGCCCCGAGACTCTGATCGCTTCCACCGGGGCCCACACACCAGGCCCAAGTCACTGCACACGTTAAACGGGCTGTGAAAATTAAGCAGAACTAACCAAATGTGCAGGGCGAGGACACAGCAAGAAGAAGGCTGCCGTCTGTACACGGGGCGGTGGCCTCGGAGAAGCCAGCCCCGCCCACACCTTGATTTTAGACTGCCAAGCTCCAAAACTGTCAGGAAATCAATTTCATTTCTTTTTTTTTTTTAAGCCAACCATCGGTGGCATTTCGATAGTGGGATCCAAGCACACAAATGCATCAGCTGTTCCATTCTGCCCCCGCCCCCCAAATCAGCCACTCCATGCTCAGCCGCTCCATGCTCACCTGCCCTGTAGTAGGGCTCATTCCCAAAGCCCCTTTCAGTTTCAGAGCGTCCCAAATCTTTTCCCACCTCCATGCCGGTACAAAAGTGGCTCCCTATTGACTAGAATGCTCCTTTTTACCTCTAAGACCCAGCTGAAACCTGCCTGAATTCCTCCCTCAAGACCCAACACAGAATTCCTGGCTCTTCTTAGCAGACTCCCCAGGGGACTGGCACTGCCTCCCTGACCAACATGCAGGGCATCTTCACAGCAGAGATGGCATCTCTTGTCTGTCTCCACGGAGACACCAGACACAGGTGAGGAGGCTGGAAGAAGCTGTGCCATAGAGAAGGATGGTCCTCTGCTGTCCTGGGAGTTACACGTGGAGTCCACCCTCATACTGAAATAGGGAAGCAAAGTCCACCCCCAGGTCCTGGCATCCATATGGCTCCCAGGCTGAAATGGAAAGCAGCTTCGATCTGCAGATCCACACCCCCTGCATCCTCCCTGGCAGCCTCCCACACGCGTCATAGCAAGGTGGGTCAAAGTGCTGCTGCCTGGTGCGGGGCTCTTCTGGATGCTTCCACTCCTGAAACAGCACCCACCCATGGTCTAGGCCCTTCTGGGGACAATGTCTCCTTTTCCTAAAACTCCACTGGGGGCTCTGGGAATTGCCCTCCCCAGTCCTCCCACCGAGAACACAGGGAGGCAGGGCACGAGTTGTCACAAACACTTTGGTGTCTTATTTGTTCCAGAAGTTGGGGGGGGGGGCGGAGAACAATGGAGAAGATGGAATAAAACATGAAAGATGAATTCTTCCCTGGAGAAGCTCATAAATGATGAGCCCTGTGATCATCATGATGCTCACCCTGACACTCTGGGCTCTCACGGGCCCACAGCAGCTAGACCAAGGAACCCTACACTGAAACCAGGGTAAGCCATCGTAAACCTTTCCTCTTTTAATTTTACTTGCCTCAGGTAGTTGACACAACAACAGGAAAATGGCTAACAGACTGTGAAACACCGCTCTTCCAAGGACAAATCTGAGCTAGTCTGAAGGATAAGGGCAAGTGGGGAAGCACTGGGGTGACCCTACCACAGCCCCCCACTGCTGGGCCTTTGGGTAAAGTCACCTGTGACCACCAGGCACCTTCCCAGCCTGCCATACTCACACTCTAGCCACTATCACAGACCCCAGGGTCCAGCCAAGGGCAACAGAGACCTGCCAGGTGGAGCCCTCACAGACCAACACCCTCCCGAAGCATGCACTGAGTCACAGTAACAGAGCATCAGCAAAGATGCTCGCCGACACCCTGCCCACTCGAGACCCCGTGAGTGGCGCTGTAGTGACAGCCTCACCCCACGCATCCCGAGCATTTCCAAATAATGAAGGAGAGAAACTCGTGCAGACTGAGAGTGCTCAACACCGGGACCACTAAAAAACAGTCTTGTTAAAGCTAGAGTTGACTGCTGGGTGCAGTCCTCTGGGAGCTGTCCAATTCTCCTTCAGGCAAGAAAGACCACACTGGACCTAACAAATGGGACAAACAGTAATAACAACAATGAATAAAAATCAACAAAAATGCAAACGCTAGCCACACGCTCTTGGTAGGAATATAAATTAGTGTGGCCAATAGAAAATGATCTGGACTTCCACAAAACACTAGAAATAGAGCTACCATATCACCCATCTACAGACCACTCCTAGGTATATCCCTGAAGGAGGAGAAATCAGTACAGCAAAGAGAGACGCACAGCAAGCTCCTGGTTACTGAATAGAATGGACAGATAAAGAAAATATGAATGTGATTCAACCACGAAAAGGAATAAAATTGTATCATTTGTGGCAATGT